AACACCTTCATCAAGTAAATATAATTATCGAGTGTTGTTCTCGATTTTATGAACTGAGTTTTTCATTGATTTTGGACATTAATTAGGCAATCAATACCGATGTTGTTCTAAAATGAATGAAAACGAGGAGTGCTATTGATGAACAAATTATTCAAGCAATGCTGCAGCAATAAGAGCATTCTTTTTTTTTTCAGATCTCTTAATGAAGAGCAGGCTCAGTATGTGACAGAACAAAAAACCGACGAAGCGGTAAAAGACATTCAACGAATGCATTAAGTTTATGCTATTATCTCGTTTGCTAAAAACCATTTTCGTTTCAATATCCGCTTGAGTGGATGATTTCTTGAGTAAAATGCCATTAGATAAGATGAAAAGAAGATATTCTTGAAATGGTCAACAACTTGTCAATTGCTCATCCAGTATAATGCAAAACCAATTAACACTCATTGAAATCAATCTTCAGATGATTGAAAATACTACTTTTAAAGGTATCTCCGAATGTTTTGCATGAATGAAATAGAATCGATGAGCAATTTTGTAATCATGCAATAAGTGAGCACTCAACATCCGCTATAAATTGGCCGTTTCAAAAGATCACTTCTTAAGTACCTCAACGGTTCCAGTTATGCCCCTGACAGGTAATAATAACAATGACAATAATAATAACAGCAATAATAACAACAACAATTCAACGGGTCTGCTCCTTTTATGAGCGAATACCTTCAAGGCCGAATACTCGTTACGCTCATTATTCAAGATGACATTTAATATCGTACGAAGAATTCACCAGCAACAATAGACAACATATTACCCTCCTCATCATTACGATAATTATCTGCGTATGCGAATGGGTGTTGTAATGGGTGAACTAATATCTAAATAATACATCAAACAGTCAGATTACTATCCTTAGACCAGCTTCCTAATTGTAGCCATTAAGTCTCAGTGCCAAAACGCAACTTCTATCGAGCATTTACAAATTTTGCCGGTTTCTTCGACGTGAACAATTCAGAAGTGAACGATCTCGTAGAGTGGGGAATGTGAATTTAAAAAATAAAAACTGTTCCATTACTCACAAGATATGTGTCAATATTCTCGAGGAAGGCAGCCGCCTCAGGATTATGCGATGTACGATTCCGCAACAAGTCACCACATCCGGATAGCACGAGCTGCTCGAGTTTGGCCACATTACCCTCGCGAACCCACTGTTGCATGCTTGACTCCAAATATGAGGGAGCAACACGACTGTGAAGTATCTAAATTTTGCAAGCGTCATTTATAACAATCAATCTTTCAGGTGCATCACCACTGCAAAAAACAATCACTGTCAAAATGCTCACGACACCAGCATCTAAATTATGAAATCAAGCACTATGTGCGACCCAAAACTGGTTCGTTACAAAGCTGACTGGCCACTGCTCAAACAAATGACCTGCTTGAGGGCAGCCCTTGTGCTGAGTCGCATCCCTTGTAAGTCAATCTCGCCCGGATACTTCAGGTAATACTTAGGTGGTCGACCATTCTGAAAGTTTTACATATTTCGACAGATCATTGAAAAGTCATTCTAAAAAATCGTATTTTATCTGTATTTTCTTGAAAATAACAAGAATGACTTCAAATTAGTATTGAACGATGGAGAATGTTTCCGAATCGGAAGCTGAATATTTTCAAGTCAGCTCAGTCATTGACTAAACTCAAAAGTGCGTACACAATCGAATATGTTCGGATCGGCCCCAGCTTTTCGCATAACCTTATACATGTAGCCTCCATCACGTAGCGCTGCAGCATAGTGTAGTGGAGTTCTTTTGCTCTGAAATTTCACGATCACACAAAGTGATACTTCTCTTGTGAATCAGTGCACTTGAATGGCAGGAACTGAATGGAACAATGCGTTTCGAATGAAGGTGGTAACGTCGTTGGAAGTTTTTTTGATTATCTTTTCTTTTGTTGAGATGATATGTTTTTTAGAGAAGGATATTTTTTGATTATTTCACTATTGATATTCAATGAAATTACTTCGCAGTTAATGGAAAACTATATGGTGAAGAGATCTTATGGTAGTGATATGTTTTACAACGATGTTTTAGTCTAGTTGTTCGGGTGAGGAGAAGGTAATGGTTTCAGAAATGCAATTTTCGAAAGATACCACAAGATCGTAGATCAGATGTGTGAAGGAAAATGTCAGATGTGTGCAGATGATCATTGTTTAACGACGATCAATCAAAAAATTAAAATGTTAGATTCAAAGTTGAGACAGACGAAACAATTTCCATTGATCATGCTTGCTATATTTGGAAGTCATGCAACAACCAACTTGGTCCATGGCGTTAACAGACTGTGGATAACTGCGTATCAAGAATTTAGCGATATCCGCACGACTGAACACGATCGCTTTATGAAGCGGTGTCAATCCACGTGCATCGCGACACAATGCCACCTTCTTACGATCGGTTAACAGCTTCACTGATCTCAAATTTCCATTCTCTATCGCTTTATGAATTGCTTGAATTTTTGCCTGAAACAAATGAATCTCATGTAATTCACATACAAGAAAGTGATTGAACTGACATCTAACAGTAAATCATTTAGCGAACAACGCTCGAATCAGCACTAAGGGTTTCAACGAAAGAATTGTAATGCTAATGTGATCAGCAAAAAGCAAGTATTCATTTACGAAACAACAACAATGATCAGTTTTACTCATAAGTAGCACACAAGAAATGCTATCAATCTTCCCAACTGACAAACTCTTCAAAGCTTATCTGTGCCTGAAAAAGTAACAGTGGATGGGAAACGAGCCTGATATTGCGGTAGAACTTCGAGGAACGCGATCGCATCGTGATCATCAATCTCGTACTTTCTACCCAACAACAACTCTGCATATCCATTCAAGACCAACTCTTCGAGTTTTCCCACGTTACCAGTGTGAATCCAGTCGGTTATATCCTCTTCAAGATCTGCAACTTCCTTCTACCTCACATACTGCTGCGACAAACGAACGCAGAAACTTCAATAAGATTAATCAGTAGTATTTAGCCGCATTAATCATCTTATGCAAACAGCATCGCGAACGTTATGCATTTTGATATCTCTTAGGCACATTACGCTTGATGGGTGCAAATCGAAGCGAATCATTAACGAGTTGATGCCATAATTGTGTAAGAGAACGAGAAAATGCCTTGAAGAAGTGGTCGATTGAGTTGTCCGGAAATGAGTTGATTCATCACAGCGTTATCTTTTAACGTTCGTACGTTCAGATGTCGACCATGCGTTCGATAATAGAACGGTGTGTGACCGTGCTGAACAGAATAACGTGATTTTTTTTCCAAACGCAAATAAATGCTAGTTTTGAGCGCAATTTTCCCTCCCTGAACATTCATTAACCTATCAAATGCCCTCCCTATTAATACGCAAAGATAAATTCAAAGTAATTGAACGCAAAACACTCAGTATTCCGTCGAAACAAACATCTCGACAATACGGCAAGTAACAGAATTCTGCTGAAAACGCCAGCAGCCAGGAGAAATGCCATTCGAAATAATCACACCGAATTCACTACCTTATCTTCGATGAACGCATCTCCACCAGCTTTTTGTAATACTTTTATCATGTGTTCACCATTTGGATCAGCTGCCGCATAATGCAACGCTGTGCGACCAGCCTACAAATTCATCGTCTTCAATTGACAGATTAGTTGAGAGATCATATGTTCTCAAAAGGAAATGATT